GCAGACCAATAAAAAATCTATCATTTAAAGGACAATGGATTAAATTCTAAAGACAATGCCCAAGTCCTTCGTTTTGGCCTCAGACCTTTTTCATAGACTGTCAAAATAAAAAATACATCTTGCTTCTCTTTTCAGTTGGAAAGCAGGTCACAGTTTGTCCCCAAGTCTATCAGCATCAGTAGAGTCACGTGACATTAACAACTCTGTAAAACTACGGATGAGACAAATCTCATTTTTTTTCTAAATAATATACCACTGTCATGATAAAAACTTACTGATCAAAATAATCATGAGTATATATAGTTTTTACTCGTCAAAATTTACAAAACAACTAAAAGTCCTTCTTTCTTAATTTTATCTTCAAACCGGAAGTTTCCTGATCGAAAAAATCTAAATATTTTCTAGGAAACTAAAATTAATGGGCTGAATAATTAAATTTGATACGGCATCTCATTAAGACAAACACTCGATAAGAATATTTAGGCAACAGAGTGTTGGATTCGCAAACGTCGAGTAATTTTCAACACGAAGCGGTGGATTTTTTCTGAGTTTTGTGCAAGTTGTTATCTCCCCTGATTTCACAAGTAAAAAAATCAATGAAAAGGAGTTAACATCACAAAAATCAAGAAGAAATAAATGAAATTCGATTTACAACTATGGTATTTTAATATTAACCATGTTAACAAGAGATACCTCCCTCCTTTTCAGAGAAGAATAAGAGGTCAAGATTTTAAAAAGACAATAAACTGGTTGAAAATTAAGAAACTAGCTGAATTGATATAATTTAGCTCTGGCTGATGAAATTGAATTTTTTTTAATGGGAAATAGGATCACTCTTGGTAGAATTTTACCTCTGACAATGTATTAAGCATAAAACATATCTTGTCACAAAGAATTGATAAACAAATTTAGAGCATACTTATGTCAAGGATTTGTATAGTCTAACTATACAAATCCTTGCTTATGTAAAGAAGATATTCACCAAAAATTGGAAATAATTTATTTTTATAATTTTTTGTAACATGATTTCAGAAAAAAAAACGTAATTTTTTGCTCTTTATTCATCTTATTTTTAGAATAATGTTTTCCATAAAAATGAGTACAATTAATCTTCTTACAGAATCAAGCCGATTCATAAAAATAATTAGGAATAAGATTTAAGATTTTATTTGAACACTCACACACAGATACATGTGTAACATGAGGTCATTAATAATAGCATTACATAAACATGACGAAGTAAACATGTGGTATCAATAATATAGATATAGCATATAGATATAACAATAATATACAAATATGTTTTTTTAACATTTTCAGAACATATTGGCAATGTTTTTGATAAATACAGAAAGTCGTTTATACAGTTGCACATTACATATTGAAAGCAGACCTCCCATTTTTTATAATTAGAATTCACTGTGTATAGTAGCTTGGTAGAAACTTTCCCCTTAAAACAACAATATTTTGATTTAGTACATTTAAATAACAAATGAAATTCATCACCAATATTACTCCTACACAAAGCACATATTCTATCTTGCCTCGGAATATTTTGCCATCTGCCTGTTTCAATAGGCAGACGCAGATTTGAACACCTAAAGTGTGTGATCCAAAGCCTGCCGCTGAATATTCAGGAAGTTTTAGAAGGTATGTTTCTAAAGTAAAATCTTTTTTTTTAAATATCGAGTAAAATTGTCCTAGTGATGAGTTTTCAATATCACTAAACCACTGTTGTACAAACTGATCACAAAGCATTTGTTTTAAGTACATTTTTTCACAGTAGCCCGTTTGATTGGCAAAAATATATCCAATGCCAGTACTGTTTAATATTGCTTCTATAAAATTTACCCATTTAAAGGTGTATTTAGATTTAGGCTTTATACCAAGCATCAGTCTATACAATAAACTGCATAGCTTTGATTCATTATTTACAATTTTACACCAATATATAATCATCCTAATTTTCACCTTTATCTCCATAGGAAATCTACTCAATTCTCCATAAACCATAAAATTAGGCGTAGTGTTTCTAACTTTTAGCGCCCTCAGTTTGCGGAATTTCAAGTGAGTCTTTTCGATAATTTTCAGGTTTTCAAAGCCCCAAACTTCAGAACCATACAGTAAGATAGGTTCTATCATAGAATCAAAAAGTTTAAATTGTAGATCAATGGGTAAAGATTCATTTCGTATAATTTTGTAAATATAAAACAATGCCTTTTGGGCTTGATCTACAAGTTTCTTTTTGGTATCAAAAAATGTACCATTATATTCGAAAATGACATTCAAATACGAAAATGTATCGACCTCTTCTAGTAAATCATTCTGCAATGTAAATTTCAGATCTTGTTTAGTTTTCCTCTTGCTAAATAACATAACTTTAGTTTTCTTAACATTCACCTTCAGTTAGGTTAGAATCATGTTGCGGCAGTCTGACGTCATGGTTACATGTCAATATTTGAATTGTTACATCGATGATTTATTAACGGGCGTATTACATTTCATTGTTAAAAAACCATTACAGAATAGCACATGGGAATTTCATTTTTATATTATATGTAATATATGTAAATACGATATACATGTAAGTACAATGAGTAGATAAATCAATAATTTATAGGGTATACGGCTGAAATCATTGTTTTAATTGCTGACCTTCAGGATTTTATTTTATTCAATTTGAATTGTTTAGTATTTATTCTAAACATTTTTTGTTAATTATTCATGCCTTTTGTGCCGATGTTTTACTAGTACTCCAGCACCTAAGCCACCAGTTTCCAAGTCAGTATTTTCATACCTGTATTTCTAAGAAAGAAAACATTGGTTAAATCTTTGTCAAACAACTCATCAAATTTCGCCATTGAAATATGATGGCAGGATGCTAGCTACAAAGAAAAAAATGTTTATTTTGTGCATTTTATTTGAAATCCATATAAAGTATCTCACCTTTTGTATCTTAACATCATTTTGTCACATTTCTGATCAGTTTATTAAAATAACGCTTACAGGTTAATTGCAGTTTAAATCTATTTAGTCCACTCAGGACCAAAATTGTCTCGCAAATATAGTGTCTTTCAAATTCAAATGAATCCATTTTTCAATCCTGATATCTAAAAATCCTTCAGGGTTCGAGTTTGCAAAACTCTATAAAAATTGCTTAAAGAGCAATAAATGAATCTAAAATTCAAAATATTTTCCAAAATTATGGTTAATTCATTCGAGAATTAAACATTTAAATTTCACTATACTGCATTAATTTGATTATGTTGGCTCTTTGAGTAAAACAAATAAAGGGGGAAGTGACTATAAAACTTTCCTGCTTCACGCGTTAAACCCATCGGGTCAAATGTGCCGCATAGTTTTTTAATTAGAAAAGGGGAGATCAAGATATGTCTGTGTATAAAAAACTGTAAACATGTTTAACCCCGCCACATTATGTATATGCCTGTCCCAAGTCAGGAGACTGGCATACAGTAGTAGTCTCTGGTTACATTATGTATATGCCTGTCCCAAGTCAGGAGACTGGCATACAGTAGTAGTCTCTGGTTACATTATGTATATGCCTGTCCCAAGTCAGGAGCCTGGCATACAGTAGTAGTCTCTGGTTACATTATGTATATGCCTGTCCCAAGTCAGGAGCCTGGCATACAGTAGTAGTCTCTGGTTACATTATGTATATGCCTGTTCCAAGTCAGGAGACTGGCATACAGTAGTAGTCTCTGGTTACATTATGTATATGCCTGTCCCAAGTCAGGAGACTGGCATACAGTAGTAGTCTCTGGTTACATTATGTATATGCCTGTCCCAAGTCAGGAGCCTGGCATACAGTAGTAGTCTCTGGTTACATTATGTATATGCCTGTTCCAAGTCAGGAGACTTGCATACACAAGTAGTCTCTGGTTACATTATGTATATGCCTGTCCCAAGTCAGGAGACTGGCATACAGTAGTAGTCTCTGGTTACATTATGTATATGCCTGTCCCAAGTAAGGAGCCTGGCATACAGTAGTAGTGTCTGGTTGCTGTCTACCATATTTGTTTTTCGTTTATTGTTTCGTATTCGAATTGTTCCAATAACGAATGACACACTAGTTATTATCACCTAACATCATCTGATCTTAAGTTTTAATTTGTACTATACACAAGTACTCATCTTAATTCTTTGATAATAAAATGACATTTACTCTTTGACTTACTTTTACTTTAAGCAAATTATGACAAGTGGATTTGAGAAAGAGAAAAAAAATAAATAAAACAGCACCAGCAATTTTTAAGATAAAGTTACCAAAATGTTTAACTTTTTGTCACTTCGGGACTTTTCATAGCTTACTATAAGGTATGGGTTTTCATCATTGTTGATGACCGTACGGTGACTAATAGATGCTAACATCTACGTCGTTTAATTTGGTGGATGATTGTCTCATTGGCAATCATATCACATCTTCTTATTTTTATATATGTGACAAAAAAAGACCTAACAACTCTGGAATGCAAATATAATATCTTTGAAATGCAAACCACGAAATAACCGTACGGTACGGGTGAACGTTCATCTTTCCTGTAAATAAAATTAATCAGTTTGTTGTGTATTTGTGTGTGAAAATAACATTTTTTTATTACATTTTTGCTGATGATACGTGCTTTTTTTTTTGGGGGGGGGGGGGACCAGTTAAAAAAGAAAATTAGGTTTACTCATATTTTTTCAAAACGGAAAAATGGGGTTTTAGAAAGCAGTTTCTCTTTTTTTTTATATATAGAAACATAAAAACTTACAAATATAGTATTTAGATATAAGGTAATTAGTATATTTATGTAAATATTGAATGCTTAATTTTGTAGTTTTATTCGGCGTTAAAGATATGACCGAATAACATTTATAGGAAGCACAGCATTTCATTCTCAAACTTTCACAACCCTATAAAACTACAAGAAGATTTCAATTCTTATAATCACATTATAATGCTTAAACCAGTAAATTACGAATTTAATCCAGTCTAGCTGTTTAACTGAATATTATATCTTTATTGCAAAATTACACCCATAAGGGGCAAGCAATACAAACAAACAATGATACAATTAAATACAATACAATGCAATACAATACAATAGAACATATTTTAAGGAAGAGTTTAATTTACAAATTTATGTAAAAAAACACACAACCATAAACTTGTCTGACATAGGTCTGACCCCCTGAGTCTGAATACTATTACATTTACATAATTGTATAACGATGTCATGGAGAACATGCGCAGTCATAGATGTTGCAGTTTAAAAAAAAAATAAAACATCAAACAAACAAAAATCGTATGATTTATGTTTCCTGTCAAAATGAAACAATCCATTTGGAATATCCGTGTTAATAATTGACCCCCATTATATCCACTTTGTTCACCCTCGCCTTGAGGATCATCAGAGGCGGATTTAGGGGGCTGGGTCGTGCTCCCTTATGGAGCTACATTTATGGTTAGTCCAGAATTTTTATCTGTTCCACTCCAAACTTTTTCTAGATTGCCCCCCCCCCCCCCCCCCCTCTTTTACAAAATCCTGGATCCGCATCTGATCATATTACCGAACATTCAATTGCAGTGTCAATATTGCGAATAATCATAATTGAAATATATGACAACAATTACTTGTCATAAACTAATACAATATAAATACAAGTTAACACCGTAAATAAATGACATTATAAATCATGAATGTCCAAAGATTCTCTCGCGCAATTTATTCAAAATCACAATTAATCAATCAATTGATTGGACGGAATTTGCATTAATTATGATGAAAAATGAATCATACAGTATAATTTTTACATACAAGATAAACACACTCAAATGAAGTGATAAACATATTACCTACATCAAGGTTATAATTCGGCACATTAAGACAATTACTCATGAAGGAGTATTTTAACAAAGTGGTTCTCTTCGAGGAGTATGTAAAGGTGGTCAAGACTTACGATCGATATTCAAGAGTCCGGACGTTTTGACCACCGTTATCTATTCAATATTCTCCACCGTTTGCCTATTTGGTGTACCAAATTTCAACCAGGTACACGGAAGTTTAAACATGTTCGAAATACAGCCATTCATTCCGGGAAACATGAATTAAGCATTTTTCAAATGGCACATTAAAAAGTCTTAGGGAAATAATAAACGACTTCAATTACAGCTTCCTTAGATACTTAGTACCCATACACATGCAATGATCTCTCTTGTGAACTTATGTTTATGTTATAACGCCACTGAGTAATATTACTCTATGGTATTTCCAAGAACATAAAATGTGATAAAATATTATTTGTAATGGTTACAGGATATAAAAATTATCATCGCCTAAGTCTTCGCCGACCATAATAACCATGAAGTTGATCAACGCCTACGTCCTCTCCTCCTCCTCCCCCGACCACCAGAAGCGTGAACCCTATTTTGTTGTTGTCGGACAAATCTACCACACTCAGCTTTACAACTCGGACAAGTGTGAACAACGTCTTTTGCCATATTCATAAAGAAAGCCAACCAGCAGCATAAGATAAGTCTACAAAACAAATTTAAAAAAGGTTAGAAGAAGAATTTTACGTTTTAACAATAAATTCTATATTGACTTACTTTGATCTTCGTTTTCTTCTTCTTTTTTTCTCTGTCGGGTTATTACGTTTAAATAAATTATTGACTTTGTTTTACAAATACAGTACATCGTAGGTATATAACGTCTATGAATAAAATTGCGATATGAGGAATATTCCAATTGGACAGTAACCAATGAAAAATAGTAGAATAAAAATGACATCTAGCGTTTAAAATATACATGCAGTTTTCCTTCTTGTATCTTTTGTGTGTATTTGATGAGAGTTTTGAATGACAGATTGGATAGATTAAACCCGTTGAACCCGACATGTAAAAATATGAAACAATTCTTACTTTTTAACAAAACAATTTACGAAAAACAAATATGACAGACATGAATCAACTACAACAACTGAACTACAGCCTCCTGACTTGGGACAGGCACATAAAGAATGTAGCGAGGTTAAACACGTTTGAAGGCGACAATCATCCTCCTTTGGTAAAACTTTTATTTTATTTTAAAATCTCGAGTTTAATCATTCATTTCTCACAATTCGTGCTATAAGAATTTCTAACTCAACAATTGTGTGTTTTTATGTTTTGTGTTTGTAGATTTTGTTTTGACCCCAGTGCTAAAACTGCAATGGGTACGCAACAAATTTGACGCACTTCACTAAATTATACATTTGCAAGTTACAAAAACTATGCTGTCTTCCATTGATCATTATTTGTAGTCATTTTCAACACATATGGAATAGGATCCCAGTTACGGCAACCAGTCCGGTACCCAAGAATGTAGTTCTTAAAAAAAATATATAACTTTTATTAAAAATGGTGTAGTTTTATTATTACACAAGTTCTGTAACTGAATGTAGTTTTCATTGAATGGGTAGGCTTTCTAGCTTGAATTTCTGTAAAAATTTTGATTGATTTAAATGTAATCTGGCGTCGGTACATAGAGTAAATTGCCTAAATTCTAGCCTTTATTCTTCCCCGGAAGTAGACCGACCTACCCTGTTGTCAATCAAAACAAAATTGTGCAACGGAATGCCGGTCATGAGGCACTGAGATTGCACTTAGAAACTTCGAAACAAATGCCTAACGTGAAACAGAAGTCCCAAGGTGGCTATCAAAATTATTTATTGGACAGTACCCCATTTATTTACTATGATTTTCAATGCGTTTCAATGGGGGAAATAACTGGGTCCCCGTTCCATATGTGATTATTTAAAACTTGCATTTTTTTACAAACTTCTTTTTTATATATCATAACGTTTTGACAAATATATAAAAGGTCTCTCGACCTACAGGCACTTGTTTCTGTCAGTGGGGTGGGGGTACTATCCACACTTGTACGAAAAATGGTTTTTGATTTTTCGTACAAGTGTGGATAGTAAACCCCCCATTGACAGAAACAAGTTTTTTCGTACAAGTGTGGATAGTAAACCCCAAATTGACGGAAAAAAGTGCCTGTGTCTCGACCCCTCCAATGAATAAACTAGAGGCTCTCAAGAGCCTGTATCGCTCACCTGACTCTACTTTGGTTTTAGAAATCAGGTAAAGATAGATAAAAATCATAACAGCCTGAGATACCCAAATAATAATGATTGAGGCCAAATTTGGATTAATATTGGTCCCGTTATTTAATAACATATCCTGGTGGCCATCTTGAACAGTAAATCAGCAACAAAGTAGCAACACATGGTCAGCACCTCATAAGTAACATTCATGCCATGTTTGGTTTCATTCCATTCAGTGGTACTCTAAGAGAAGACATTTGTATGTATTTCCCATAGGGTCCTATGTTCAACTAAGCCCCCTCCCTAGCGGCCATCTTGGATGATGGATCAGCTGCAAAGTAACAACACTTGGTCAGCACCTCATAAGGAACATTCATGCCATGTTTGGTTCCATTCCATTCTGTGGTTTTCTAAAAGAAGACATTTGTATGTATTTCCCATAGGGTCCTATGTTAAACTAAGTCCCCCGCTGTCAGCCATCTTGGATGATAGACATACTGCAAAGTAACAACACTTGGTCAGCACCTCATAAGGAACATTCATGCTATGTTTGGTTTCATTCCATTCAGTGGTTCTCTAAAAGAAGACATTTGTATGTATTTCCCATAGGGTCCTATGTTAAACTATGTCCCCCGCTGGCGGCCATCTTGGATGATGGATCGGCTGCAAAGAAACAACACTTGGTCAACCCCTCATAAGGAACATTCATGCCATGTTTGGTTCCATTCCATTCAGTGGTTCTCTAAAAGAAGACATTTTGTATGTATTTCCCGTAGGGTCCTATGTTAAACTAAGTCACCCACTGGCGGCCATCTTGGATGATGGATCGGCTGCAAAGTAACAACACTTGGTCAGCACCTTATAAGAAACATTCATGCCATGTTTGGTTTCATTCCATTCACTGGTTCTCTAAAAGAAGACATTTGTATGTATTTCCCATAGGGTCCTATGTTAAACTAAGTCCCCCGCTGGCGGCCATCTTGGATGATGGACCGACTGCAAAGTTACAACACTTGGTCAGCACCTCATAAGGAACATTCATGCCATGTTTTGTTTCATTCCATTCAGTGGTTCTCTAAGAGAAGACATTTGTATGTATTTCCCATAGGGTCCTATGTTAAACTAAGTTCCCCGCTGGCGGCCATCTTGGATGATGGATCGGCTACAAAGTAGCAACACTTGGTCAGCATCTCATAAGGAACATTCATGCCATGTTTGGTTTCATTCCATTCAGTGGTTCTCTAAAAGAAGACATTTGTATGTATTTCCCATAGGGTCCTATGTTAAACTAAGTCCCCCGCTGGGGGCCATCTTGGATGATGGACCGACTGCAAAGTAACAACACTTGGTCAGCATCTCATAAGGAACATTCATGCCATGTTTGGTTCCATTCCATTTATTGGTTCTCTAAAAGAAGACATTTTTATGTATTTCCCATAGGGTCCTATGTTAAACTAAGTCCCCCGCTGGCGGCCATCTTGGATGATGGATCGGCTACAAAGTAACAACACTTGGTCAGCACCTCATAAGAAACATTCATGCCATGTTTGGTTTCATTACATTCAGTGGTTCTCTAGAAGAAGTTCAAAATGTAAAAAGTTAACGCCGACGACGGACGACGCCGGACGACGCCGGACGACGGACGCCAAGTGATGAGAAAAGCTCACTTATTTCAGGTGAGCTAAAAAGGTGATTTAAATGTTGTAATAAACTGGGCGATGAGTATAACTTTTTTTCTAGTTTGTAAACTAAACGGTTATTTATAAAAATGAAATCAATTGTATGATACAAAACATCAACCACTATTCTAGCTAAAACAACTTCTAAATCCTGAATTTGATTTTTTGCCAGCAGTTGGTGATTTTATAAAGCAATCATCTTTAGAGTTGCAAAAATGATGTCCATGTGCATGAAAAGTTACATTATCATGAATATTTTGAAGACCCATTGGTGGCCTTCGGCTGTTTTCTGCTCTTTGGTCGGGCTGTTGTCTCTTTGACACATTCCCCATTTCCATTCTCAATTTTATGTTGTGTTCGTGTTTATTTTTGTAATTATTGATTGTGGTTTTTTTGCTTGACCTAAATGGATGAAATTTGTAAATGAAGATCAATTATGTTATAAACTCTTCCACGGATTTTTTTTTCAACTGCTAAGCGAAGGCGATCCACCGATCTTCTGCTTGCATTTACTCTGGTTAGCCGATTACATACTATCAAATACTGTTTACAAAGACTGTGTAGGTTAGTAAACACTAACCTACTATATGAGATAAAAAGCTTACTTTAACAGGTTTTGTCTCATTGTTATTGTATTTGATTATATAACGAGTTTTTCTTACCCACTTAAAAAGAACAGAATACAGCAGAGATAGGTACAACTACCGACGACGTATGTAGTTTCTGTTGTTACTTCTAGGTGGCATGACGGACATTTCATGCGAACCGGATGTTCATTTCTCGCTGGATTATTCGGATCTATCATTTGAGCCATATTAGCAACCAATGCCGCATGAGCTGGATCGATTTGCATGGTTATAGTCTGGTTATTCATGATTACAGACTGAGTTTGCATCGGCATCTGTCCATGCATTGGTTGTCCTGTAACTGGAGGATAAGCTGGAGGATAACTTGCAGGTCCAGGAGGAGGATAACTTGCTGGTTGTCCAGGTTGCATGGATGGTGCAAAGGACGATCCATACTGTGACGGATCTACAAATATGCATTATTATAAATATAAATTACACTACTAAGGGATATAGAATGGTATTATTTCTAATAGAAATTTTACATTTACTTGTTAATAATCCTTTTAAAAACTTCGATTAATAGTTAATATTTTTAATAATACGATTGAGTCAAATAATAAACAGTCTTACATGGCTATTTCATACATCTGGTAAAGTTGTCAGGAACGCCCAAAACCAAAAATTTAGAACTTGATGTATAGAAACAATTGAGGAGCTATGTGACCAAGACAGAATAGTCAAAACAATTCAAGGTCAACCTTGCTTGAAGGTGTTCAGAACCTTAGTCTCAAGCACTGTCTATATAGTGTGCTGATGATGCACGGGGAATACAAGTCCACCAGCAGCAATATTTACCTTGAACTATCAAATGAGAATAACTCTTTCTAAATTTGGTACATCCGAAGCGCTTTTCTGAAATAAAACATATCAGGGACGCTCAAAACCAAAAATTTGAAAGCCGAAGATATACAAACACTTGAGGAGCTGTATGATCAAAAGATACTTAACAGAATAATCTAATATAGAAATAAGGAGATGTGGTATGGTTGCCAATGAGACAAATATCCACCGAAGTTCAAAAGTGGATGTAAGCAATGATGGGCAACCGTACGGCCTTCAACAATGAGAAAAACCCATACCGTATAGTCGGCTATAAAAGGCCCCGACATGAAATATATGAAATAATTCAATTGAGACAACTAACGGCCTAATTTATAGCAAAACAATTTACGAAAAACAAATATGACAGACGCGAATCAACGACAATCACTGAACTACAGGTTCCTGACTTGGGACAGGCACATAAAGAATGTGGCGGTGTTAAACATGTTTGTGAGCGCCCAACCCTCCCCTAACCTGGGACAGTGGTGTAACAGCAAATCATAAGAATAAACTATAAAAATCAGTTGAAAAAGGCTTAACTCATCAGACAGAAACTCAGACAGGACGTGGCAGGGTATATATCCATCCCTCATCCTTTACAACAAAAAAGACACTAAGTACAGATCTGAGAGTACTCGCAGTTACTGACAGCTAGTTCAAAGCAAATAACAACCAATAAAAAAATAATGTATCTTAGACTAAAATATCAATCAGTACACATCCAACAACCAATGAATTTAGTGTAACGACGTCATTAACAGTCAAGAGAAAAACAGGACCTTGTACAATGCCAAAATATAGGTATCGACAGATTGTAGTACTGTGAAAGTACATATGTGTAAATTCTAATATTTAGTATGGTTTTGATTTACTGATAACAAAATCAATATTTATACCAATAAAAACAATATTCAAAGATTTAAGTACAGTGTTTGAAAGGTAACCTTCTAGAATAAGTTTTTGTAAAGGATTGATACGTTTACCCGGATCGTATCTTAATTTCCGGGCTCGGTTAACAACATCACCGTAAAATTTAGGATGTGCTATTCCGTTTGAAATAAGTTTTCTACAGGTACAGCCAAAACCATTCAAGGTCAACCTTGTGTAAAGGGATTTAGAACCTTAGTTTCTTTATAATTTCTAAATTTATCAACAGAAAATTTAAGAAATGTATGTTATAAATCATGTCAGTGGCAGCACTGCGTGCTGTGCTGATGATACCCTCGAGGATTAACCGTTCACTAGCAGCGGTTTCCACCCAGCGCTAGCAAATGAAAATAACACTTTTGTAAAGTTTGTAAGACGAAAACGTATATCATGCTGCAAACACTTATTCAACTATGGTATTACATTATTTCAATTGTGTGAATGTATATATATATTTTTCTAATCACTGTATGTCAGCATGTAAAAACGAGTCGGAAGATAATGAAGGGAGGATCAAATAACGAAGAAAGATCGATAAAATAGTGGCAAAAACGAAATACGACGAAATACGACGAAAAAACCAACAACAGTCTACAAAACACTACATACGAAACTAAAGACTGAGCCACATGCACCACATCAATCAACAAACACTACATACGAAACTAAAGACTGAGCCACATGCACCACATCAATCAACAAACACTACATACGAAACTAATTAAAAGACTGAGCCACATGCACCACATCAATCAACAAACACTACATACGAAACTAAAGACTGAGCCACATGCACCACATCAATCAACAAACACTACATACGAAACTAAAGACTGAGCCACATGCACCACATCAATCAACAAACACTACATACGAAACTAAAGACTGAGCCACATGCACCACATCAATCAACAAACACTACATACTAAACTAAAGACTGAGCCACATGCACCACATCAATCAACCGGGTGCGATCACATGTGCTCTGAAAGGTTTGCCGATACTGCTCCAGATGTTACACTCCTCGTGTTACTAAGAACTATAAAATGTGTTGACAATTGTATCACGTTTTGTGTTAAATTCTCGAAACCTACCAGCCAGCTATGAAGAAATATACATACCAAAATACAGTTTAACACAATTATCAAACATCAAAATTTTTCTTCTTTGATAACTTTAACTAGCATACTACATCAGGATACAATGTTTTGTTTTAGAACAAAATAAAGACTTTAGTTCAACAAATCACCTAAAAAATCCTTATTTCTTTATTTTCAAAAGATTTTCTTAGATATTGTTTGTTTTTATTTATATCTCATACCATCAAAATCCTACAAGCAATCGGACACAAAACAAAGAAAACTGACACTTTGTTATGAATTATATGTACAGCATACTCCAAACACTAAATACATTTGCTCATCTGCAATGGTGAATGACAACCTTACTTTACATCGGAATGAAGTGTGCGCAGATGAACACAAGTTTGTGTAGAAGTCATACATATAGGGAAAATACATGTTATATATTTGTGAACAAACGTAAAACTTTCGATAAAAACTGATAAGCGAAAGGACAAAACTGTTGTCGTAGTCAAGAAGAACTGTGATTTTTCTGAAAAAGTGACCTCCGTGAATTCTGACAGAAAATAGGAAGAAGGCGCTGGTAATGAAAGGCAGTACTTCATACCGATGATTGTTTATAGAAACTAGAGATGTAATACATGATGAGCACATACTATAAGTACTATTGATCATTTGAGTACGCTTACATCTATAACATTACAGAAATTATATACTTTTACAGTTTTTTGGAGATTTCATAAAAGCGCATATGTCACGGAATTTTTTGTTTACTGATCTGAATGAGCTTGGTATAGAATAATATTTTATATGTGCCATTAAAGCTTTATATTCACAAATTGAATGTTTTATTAAGTTCAATGGTTATATGACACAGTGATTAGCGTACGGTAAATTCAGGTCTATTATAAAACAAAGATGCATTTTATTCCCAGTATTATTTAATATTTTCTTATAAATAGCTTAGTTGCAGATATTAAAGTATTATATTTTGGTATTTCTATAGTGAAAACGTTGGTATTTTTGTTATATGCAGATTATATTGTATGGGTTGCTGAAAATGAAAACGATTCACAATTTCTCTTGGGTGTTCTTAATATATATATATACTTAATGTAAAATAAATTATCATGACATTTTGATCATGAGAAGACTAAATTGTGCATACTAGTATAAGAAATCTGTCTGTTCAAAAAGCAAAAACTATGATTTTATTTAATGATATACAAAAACGTATTGTATCAAGTTACCAATATCTGATTCTATTATTAATTAAATTTCTAAACTATGATGAGATAGCAAGATCTGTAGCAAAGTCAGCAATCAGATATATTGATTGTTGGTTGCTTAACGTCCAGTGGCAAATTTTTCATGCGTGTTCAGGACGAGAACAATTTAACATTAAATACAATGGGTAGGTCCTGTCTGGGAGGCCGTCTGGGATGAAGGTCGGGTAAATTTAGACTACCACTGGAAAATGAGGGTATAATGGATAGGGACAGAAATTTTGCCTTGCAACATGCCACCTACGGACCCATCAAAGAGTTGCGCTGCGAACTTGTACATCCCACAGTCAAACGGACGCCAAACTTTGGCAAGGGTTTTACTTCCGGTAGGAAGAAGACCTGTAATGATCATATTTCTATAACCCAGTCACTCTTGGCTTCTATACCCCAGTCACCCTTGGGGGCAGCAAGCAGAACGTTGAGTTTAATTATTGCAAAGTGTAAGACACTACTGCACGATTATTATAATATTTTATACCCTGTTCAGGTCAGTAAGAAGCTATTGTACAGTCATTTGGGGCATCAGGAATTTTTCATGCATTAATGCTGCTAGTACAAGACTTATCAGGTTATTTATGGGTGGGCAAATATATCCCAAATGATGCAGTCAATGAGATATGGAGTCGGAGACCTCCAAGTGTCAAGCAGTAAACTTGTATTTTAGACCCTGGGCTAGATGTAGTAGAATGTGCACAGATATACTGAATTATAGAATATGCAAGTGTTGTCGCAAAAATGCTATTAAAAAGAGGAGAAAATGTTGTTATAAAATTATGACAAACTTTATTATAGTTTGTTATTTTGACTTGTATGCTAATTTAAATGATGATTTGCATAAATAAATATTGCACATTTAGAAGATGTTCTATTCGATTAATATAAAGAAAATACTGGCAAGATAAGATATTGCCACAAAATGTTGGTAAAGTTACGAACATATAAATCAATTTTCTAAATGAATTATACTTATCTAAAATAATCTCATATTGATATATAAGCGTTTTGCCAAATTTAGATGCAAAGTAGCTCCGTGGAAAATCTAAACAGGGCGTTATGAAAATAAAGATGTAAAATTCAAGATTGAGGACGACAAAACATGTGATATGTTATATTATTGTCACAAATGGAAACTGGCCGTGGGTGTATCTTGTGACTGGGTTATGTGTGTTGGTCTGCAACCACAACGTGACACACACAATTAACGATACGACGAGTCTGCATCAACTCTAACTGTGGGGACTAACTCTTGCAACGAATAACGACTCTAGTTTTCGCGATATATAATTTAATAGTTCAGAATGGAATACAATTGTACAAAGTAGGAACTGCTCAGTTTAATACTAAATCTAATCTGCCATATCGAAATGATAAATCAGTTTTTTTAACAAACACACAATTATTTGAATAGACTAGACTGACAAATACAATTAACGGATTAAATAAAAATTAGCACATGGCTATTAAGTATATGTAAGAGAATGATAATCCCTTTCTTCATGATTAAGTACGAGCGTTAGCGAGTACTTATCATGAAGTAAGGGATTATCATTCTCTTACAAACTTAGAATATTGTAAAGTGCTCAAGGCTCAAATGATCTCTTGATTGGTTGTATTCAAGAATTAGTGTCTTTGTCAGTGCAATGTTTATAATTGACGCATGACTTCCTTTTTCGGCATTTCATTTATGGATTAGTTTTAGTGATGTAAGGATATTCTTATAATTTGGGAAATATTTAAAAAAAAATGCGTTATAGAAATTAGGTGACAACAGTCCAAAGAAAAGGTAGGAATTGTATATGTTTCCTGATTGTGAGTATGAATGTATATCGTATAATATTTTATTGAGGAATTATCCTTTTTTTATTTACAGTTTAAATAAATAACTATATTTGAATTACAACTAATTTTATTTTCACAGCCAATATTTTGGTCCAGCTTCTTAAATCAAATACTATTTCATTATAACAGGGGAATGTTCAAATAAAATGCCTTTAAAAGTTTTAAATATATTCAAAACTTAAATTAAACTCCTTGTTTTTTTAAATTTTAACGGAATATTGGAACTAACTATTCTTCCCAACCGCTAGTCCAGTTATCAGAGTTTTGGAAAGCTAAAGATTTAGGTTGTTTTTGATTTTAAAACTTTTTTTTTTCTTTTTTTGCATTGCTTTGATATTGTTTAATTTTTTAGTAATTTAAAGTTATTAATATTTTCATAATAACATTAAAGGTACCAGTTTTACTGCACCAGTAGACTTCAACTTATTTTTATTTTTTTGTTTCACAATTCAACTTTTAGTCATTTTCAATCAATGTGTGATAAATTCTTTCAATCTGATAAATGTGCTTCGGGGCAGTTGTAACTCATTTATAGAAACTCTTTGTTTTGAACTGTAAATACCCAAATAATAGGATAATCCCTTACGAAGAACACGATTTACATTCATTCTTCACAATTAAGAGACATCAAATTCTACAATTTCATTGGTCGAGAGCACTTTGCTATATTCTAATTAACAATATAACCTGTAGATAAAGACTTATGTATCGAATTTAATAGATACAAGACTACTTAGTCTAGGCAAGATTAAAGTAATTTAATCTTTCATAACAAAAAATTAACAAACTTCCCATGTGAAATATTTCAAATACATGAAAAACAATGATTTTACGAAATTCTTTTATAAAAAGTCGGAACAGTCTGAAAATCATATTTTGTCCATTTTTCATTGCGTCATTATCATGTTCGTTATAAGCAGATTTGCTTTATTGTTTATATAGTGAAGCAACGAAATGAAACTTTTATGATTTATCTGATGATGACAAATTTGTTAATTGATCTCAGATTGTCAAGTGTTACGATATGGTTGCCAATACCTGCTTTAATATTTGAAGTAAACGAAATACTTTTTTATATTCTTGGAGTGAAGTAAGTTTAACCATGGAAGTATTATATTGTCAATATAAATTCATGGTTTAACCATGTAATATAATTGTTTTATGCGAATTATATTTTGCAGTATATTGTGTTTATGTATTAAAAGTGGTGACCCTCTAATAAAATATTGAAATCATAGATTCTCGATCAGCTATATTGGCCCTCGATCCATCGGCACGGTCTCGGTGTCAATACAGCAGCGAACTTCGAATTTATACCAGGGCCAATACAGAGACACTACAATGATGCATCATTATTCAACCATGAAACAAAGAGAGTCAGATGACAATATTCGCCAGTATAGAATTGTCTTTTAAGTATAGTATTTTGAAAATTATTTAATGTCTTGTATTAACGGATAAAAAGATGATTATAATTGGTAAACTTGACTATCCACTTTAAAACACAGCAAAGCACATGCAGATTTAGTATTTATTATTCATAGTATTATTTCATGACAAGATTTAGACAATAAGCAATAAACTTGTACAACACTATGCATAGTTGGTAAACATTTAAACGTCCGTCCTAATGAACCCTTATCTCGTCATAAAGTGACCCACATACACACGGCACAAATGTTTGAGAACAAAATCTACATGCATAAACGATCAGTTTAAAACAGGTATTTAAAATAAGATATTAAAAGCCGTTGTTTGCAAACTTACCTGAATATCCGGCGGGGAAGGCAGACATCTTAAATAAATCACAATTGCATTAATTGTATGGTTGCATTTCTACCATTTCTGGCAACATTAATCAATGACCTAGAAACTTGACGGCATGGTTACAAATCAACATTACAGATTTTGAACTACGTGTTGTATTTCAAAATTTCAAAATGACTACTATATTTAAATGTCTACGAAAGGTTAATAAAGCTTAACTTAAAATATGAATTAAATAGTAATCAATATTGATATTGTGGATCGCGTGGTCTGAATCAAACGACAGTCTTGACCTGAATAAAGTTGATCCTTTGTCCGTTCCATTAAACTCATTTCAAAATACAACAAATGACGTCAGAGTTGGTTCTCGTCTGTCATTCAACATCTACGTAATTGCAATAAGAATAAGAATAAGAATAAGAATATTTATTATTCCAATCAAGGGCCCTTGATGGGCAGCATAACATGTACACATAAAACAATACATCATGATTTGTAACAGAAAAACATTTTTATATATTAAAATGAAGCATTAAAAAGTTCAGACAGATTGTAACGTGTTTGGCTTATAAACTATCTGTTCGTATCCGTTTTCACAGAATCTGAGATACTCCAATATCAATCTTTTAATTAACTCAAAATCTAACTACAACTTGGAGGCTTTACTAAAAACTACGAGACCAACCTTTAAACTTTGAAACTTAATAAAGAAACAACAATATTTACATCAAAAAGTAGTCTAAAAACTATAACCTCAATTTATCCTTAATCCTTTCACTGACTCCGAGGTCCCAACCGATTTGCTCAACAATTATAACCTTTCAAAAACTATAAGAGGACAAGCTTCAAAACCATAGGTTCCTGAGACACCTTGTTCTGAGACACCTAGTCTCTGAGACACCTAGTTCCTGAGACAACTAGTTTTGAAACACCTAGACTCCGAAGCACCGAAGTCACCAGACTATTACAAACTACCTGTTCGAGGGACTGCGACCATTCCCGTGGTAAATTACAGTTTCAGAACAACCCGGTAGCTTGCAACAATCGTAAAGACTTCTAAACCGCTTGCTTCAAACCACAAGCTTTCAACTCGAACTTGGTTTACAAACTTCTCAGTTAGACTTTCTTTATTTGCTGGTATTCTCTTTCCGATGCTTATTCATCAACAGCCAAATAACAAATGAACGAACTCGCACAATGTATCGGTGTCTTTATATACCAATAGCGCGGACCTCAAGGAGAGCACCCTAGCAACAACGAGTTTCATAGCAACCAAGGATAAAAGGATGATTGTCCATGTAGTTTTCGTTAACGCATTGTTCAAACGGGTAATTTATCATGGATTACAATTAAACATTGAATTACAAATATTGTCTTATGCTTAAACTGCATTTCTGTCACATTACCCACGCCTCCGATTTCATGCGTCCTCGCATGACTAACATACTTTTTTTTTCTATTTGTATCAACTCAAAGCAACTGCTTCCTAATTTTTTTTATAAATGATTAGTTCTTAGCTTCTCCAAAATTCGAATACTGAGATTGCCACTGTAAACGAAAATAGCTAAAAATAGGTTCTGAAGTAATTTTGCCTCGACAAGAAGCACTTATGGCTTACATGAGGGTTCTTTTACATGCACAGAGCGTGACATTTCCCTGCACATGGGACCTCGGATTTAACGTCCCCATCCGACGGACTTTACATAGATATATTTTTTTTTCTCTGCTGAGTGTATTTCAACACAACTCAACAGTTACAATAACAATAACATTAATATTTTATAAAACAAAAACATTGCTATCTACAATAACCGATCAAAACTCAACCAAAGATAGAAAATTCTTCTTGAACGGTGTGTTTATATCTACTAACAGTCTCGAGAAATTCCCCAAAATCAAATGATTTTTCTTTTCTTGGAGCCACAAGTTTCACTGGTCCTTTTGGCCTTCTTGTGTTCCTTGTTTTCAGACACATTTTATTAACAGTCTTAACATTTGTGTCAGGCTCTTTATCATCATCTTCGTTTTCGGATCTGTCACTTTCTGAGACTTCTATCAGTTCTGTCGACTCTCTGTGATCTGACAACTCTGTCTTTTCACTGTCTAATGAGCATTCATTCCCCTCGGAAGATGTGTCGGACTTTTCTGGGTTGTTGACTTCGTCCTCAAAGTAAACTTGTTCACTTGGTACCTCAACGATTTCAACGTCATTATAGTTACCTATGAAACTTTTTAATATGACGTTTGTGATAAGCCGACTTCTTAAACATTTTGCTACACTGGCAGCAAGTCAATCCGCTTTTCTCCTGACCTTTATTTGCATTTACAATACCAACTTCTTGATTTGGTAGAACTGGTTTTCTGATGTTTCTAGACACCAGTACTTCACTTGTAGGAGGCCGTTTTACAGTCGTTGCAACATATACACTATAGCAGCCTATCTGACCTTCAAAATGTAAACGGGTCTCTCTTCCGTTTACCAAAATACTACCTTTAGTAATATTAATTACACAATTATGGCTCCTTTGGAAGTCTATTCCCAATATACCATCTACGTTTAGGTCTGCTACTACAGCTATGTTCGAATAAACAAATCCGTTAATCTCGATATCAAGGATTGTTTTCCCATATAGAACTAATGGAGAACCGTTGGTAGTCAATATCTCTCTGTCCATTGGTGACAGAACATGCGAATGCATACTGTCAAATTGTTTCTTTGAAATAAGTGATACTGTCGCACCTGTGTCTATAAGCATCTTTGCTTTGGTACCATTTACTTTAGCTTTGATAAACATACCAGCCTCTTTTGCTAATTTATTCACCCCTATCACACCGTTCTGTTTTTCGTGTGACACTTCAGATCCGTGTGGGGTGGTCGAATGTACTCTCTTTACACTACTTTCGGGACAATCTTTCTGGAAATGTCCAAATTTTCCACAATTGAAACATCCACGTTTCTTGCGATTCTGGAATTTTGAATTCCCTTTAAAAGGAAACCACCCTTTTCCCCGAGTTTGTTGCAAAGCTTTTACTTCTTGTTGCAGATCATTCAAAGCTGTCTGCATGTTTTTAAGTAGCTCTACTGTTTTGTCGCTAGTGTCACTGATGTCCGCATCTCTATTTGTAGCTCTTAAATAACCTTTGCCTTCCTCTCGCTTTATTTCAGCCTTATTAAAAGCTTCTAGTTCAACGGCGTGTCGAATTGCGTCGTTCAAGTCAGCAGGTCTAGCTTGTTTTATTCTTAGCCTCATGTCGACACTCTTGAGTCCGTCGATAAATTGCTCTTTAGCTAGTGTTTCTCGTACGTCATTCGGGGCTGTGGGGTACGCCAGGTTTGCCAAGCGTCTTATGTCCTGACCTAGTTCAGGAAGGCTTTCTGAAGCCTTTTGACGACGCTCCCGTAATTGTGTTCGGTACAATTCGGTTTGATTGGCAGGCGAAAATCTCTCTTCGAGAGACCTCACAAGTTCCTTAAAATTTTGTCTTTTATCTGTGGGTAGATTTCCTAGTACCCCCCTGAGCTTGTCCTCTCAATGAGACTGCCAAATATAAACCCTTTTCTGCCTCAGTCCAAGCATTTATACTCGAACAGGCATCGAAATGAGACTTGTAATCTATCCATGACCCCTGGCCGTCAAACGTAGCGGGCTTTATGATATTTTTGTTTTTATGGATAGAACTCTATCCCCTATATGCACTTATTTCGTCTTGTGATTTTGGCATATTTTTCTTTCGCCTTTCAGTGACAAAGTTGGTCTCGAGAACAGAGTCTGGATAAGTTCTCATCTCTGGTGTTAATTTTACCGAAGCTGGGATATGTTTATCAGTTATTGCAGCCTGTGACATAACTGTTAACTTCACCCCTTTCTCAGCGTTTGTACTTTGGAGTATATCGCTGCCTGTACCAAAGTCAGGGTTTGGAGTTCTAGCAGTAGCAATTCCAGAGTCAGATTGTCTTGGACGTGTTGTTTGATAGATGGGAACTGACTGAGCAAAGTCTGGGGCATTTTCAAAACTTTTAATTCTTAAGCGCCCTATTTCCATGTTTAATCTATCTATCTCCCTTGACAATTTTCTTGTTTCATAACTATCAGGGTCATACAACATTTCATCTTCTCTGTATGTTCGCGACATATTTTGAAGAATAAATCTAACAAGTTTTTCAAAAATATTTTATAACACAACTTGACAATCAATGTATTTACAAAACAATGTATTGTTTCTTGCATGGACAAATAGAAAGTGAACTCACAATCAAAAATGTAATTACATATAATACTGTAGTCTCTCAGATCCCACCGCTGCTAACCAATTTTGTAACGTGTTTGGCTTATAAACTATCTGTCCGTATCCGTTTTCACAGAATCTGAGATACTCCAATATCAATCTTTTAATTAACTCAAAATCTAACTACAACTTGGAGGCTTTACTAAAAACTACGAGACCAACCTTTAAACTTTGAAACTTAATAAAGAAACAACAATATTTACACAATTAACTTTGTATCAAAAAGTAGTCTAAAAACTATAACCTCAATTTATCCTTAATCCTTTCACTGACTCCGAGGTCCCAACCGATTTGCTCAACAATTATAACCTTTCAAAAACTATAAGAGGACAAGCTTCAAAACCATAGGTTCCTGAGACACCTTGTTCTGAGACACCTAGTCTCTGAGACACCTAGTTCCTGAGACAACTAGTTTTGAAACACCTAGACTCCGAAGCACCGAAGTCACCAGACTATTACAAACTACCTGTTCGAGGGACTGCGACCATTCCCGTGGTAAATTACAGTTTCAGAACAACCCGGTAGCTTGCAACAATCGTAAAGACTTCTAAACCGCTTGCTTCAAACCACAAGCTTTCAACTCGAACTTGGTTTACAAACTTCTCAGTTAGACTTTCTTTATTTGCTGGTATTCTCTTTCCGATGCTTATTCATCAACAGCCAAATAACAAATGAACGAACTCGCACAATGTATCGGTGTCTTTATATACCAATAGCGCGGACCTCAAGGAGAGCACCCTAGCAACAACGAGTTTCATAGCAACCAAGGATAAAAGGATGATTGTCCATGTAGTTTTCGTTAACGCATTGTTCAAACGGGTAATTTATCATGGATTACAATTAAACATTGAATTACAAATATTGTCTTATGCTTAAACTGCATTTCTGTCACATTACCCACGCCTCCGATTTCATGCGTCCTCGCATGACTAACATACTTTTTTTTTCTATTTGTATCAACTCAAAG